TTGAGCAGGCGGCGGAGGACCCCGGGCAGGAGGAGGTGGTGCAGCAGTGTATGGCGAACCAGGGCTGGCTGGAGACGCTGTTCGACTCCTTCATCGAGCTGCTGACCCTCAGCGCGCAGGCCTGAGGCCGCGGCCCAGACAGCGGGGGACGCCGGAATCGAGGGGAGCCCCCTCCGAAATCGAGGCTCGGGGGGCCGGGGATGCAGCGACCCCGACAGCCGCCAGAGGCAGGGCGGAGAGATGGACTGTCGCCCCCCAGTGGTGGGGGAAGGAATGACGGGGAGGGTGGGGAGGGGAGGGAAAGGGGGCGCAGAGCCCGGGTCCACTCTGTGGGGCGCAGGAGAGAGAGGGGGGGACCGGGGGAGTCTGGGGGTCTCCATGCTCCGGCCCCTCGCTGTGCCGAACGCCCTGTTGGAAGAGTTGTTTTTCTCCGTTGGAAGAGCACGGCGCTCTGTCCGGACCCGAGCGGGCCGAGCCGGGACACAGCGCGCCCTCGGCCTGCGTTCCCGACACTCCGACTTCCAGCGTGTAAATACTGTACAGGCGCAGGCGGGGGCGCTCTGTCGACGCTGACCCCCGACCCCCGACCCCCGACCCCCGCGACTCTCTGGCCTCGGACCCGGCGGCGAAGACGGTCGCAGCGACGAAGGCCCCGCGCCCCTCCGGGCGGAGACGGTGGCTGGTTTGCAGACGCTTTTTTTAAAAAAAAAACGGAAAAAAAAATTCCACTTGCCGACCGGACACAGGTCCAGTCTCCCCCACCTCATCTCCGCCCCTCCCTCCTGCCCCCATCCCTCCGGAAAATAACAGATTTTGTCTTTTTTTATAAATATATATGAAAAAAGCAATTTGAAAATATTCCTAAAAACTTTACTTTTCGAGATCACCCCAGCCATCTGTGAGTGTGAACTGTTGTTACAATTTTTTCACCCCGTGTTGCTGTACGATTGTGTTCTGATTATTATTATTAATATTATTATAATATATATATTTCTATTTTTTATTGTTTTAGTGTCGGATAATGTTTTATTTTATTATTTGTTTTTTTTTTTTGGTTCTTTTCTGAATATGTAAAACTCAAGCTGTATAGTGTGTACACAAACTGATTAAAATGGAAAAAAACTTTCTTTGCAAAAAAGAGAAAAGGAATTTGGTCTCCTGGGCGTCTTGTTTTCCTGGTCTGGGGGGGGCTTGTCTCTCTTCCTGTTGTCTCCCGCCCTCTGCCCCGCCCACTCCATGTGATGTCATCCAGTCAGACCAAGCTAGACGATCAGCTGCTATTCAATCGCATCTGATCATCCCGACGCAGGTGGTGTCGTTGTTGGGGGGTGCGGTGTGGGAGGGCATTTTGTCTCTCCCTGGTTGGCCTCTCCTGCCCTCTGCCCCGCCCACCCCCGTGTGATGTCATCCAGTCAGACCACACTAGCCGCCCAGTAGGTTTTCGATGGCGTCTCACTACCAGTCTCTCAAGACTGGTTAGAGGGGGACTGGCGGAAAACTGACAGGGGGAGAGCTTTCACAAAGAGTGGTGGGGGTCTGGAACAAGCAGCCCTTGACTTAGTGCTCCGATTCCTGAGTAACCTGGACTCCTAGCAGTGTTTTCTAACGTTGCCTTGGGACATTCAGCTGCAGCACCTGGCCTCAGATTCTGCATGAGTGGCTTGGGGAGCCCTGTGACCTTCGAACCACGTCGTTTAGACTTAGATCAGACTTTATTGATCCCAAAGGGAAATCGAGGTGTTACAGCAGCCCAAGACAAGCAAAAAAAAAACAGACATCAGGATAGACAAAAAATTAGAATCCGTACAGTAATACAAAATACATATAAAAAATAAATACATAGGTGTGTGAAAAATATGATCATAGGCACTGTAAAAACAATAAAATCTGTGCACAATGTGCATAGGTATATACAGATTGAGTGTCCAAAAAGTACAATGGAGCAACATGCTGTCCATAGATGAGCAAATGAATGGCTAACAGTCCTAGCCTAGGGCAGCGTTATACACCCTGGGAAGAGAGACCTGTGGAAACGTTCCCTTGAACACCGGAGCTGGAGCAGTCTGTTGCTAAAAGTGCTCCGCTGCCCAGTAACAGTCCCATGAAGCGGATGAGAGGCGTCTAAAACCTTTTTCTTACAAGAACGTCTCAAAAACAATTTTACTCCAGATTCTCAAAAAACAATTCAGACGTCAACAGAACAAAACTAAACTGTTATTCACCATGAGGAATGAAAATATCTAGCTTGTAACATTTATTAACTTTTATTTAATGACTAGTTCAAAGGAGAAAGGGAATTAAAAAAATAACACAGCCAGAGGTCACTACAAATTTGAACCCAATAAGACAAAATATTGACAGACATCAGTTATTTTTCCCTGGGTACTTTTTAAAGTTTTGAATGCAGTTTAAGTAATATTGCATTTCCACCTTACAATCACTAAAGGAGTAAGTAGGATTAGTTTACCAAACTTAGACCACTTTGTCTTGTGAATATGATATCTACCCAGTTTTACAAATTTTACATATTTTTCATATTACATTTTTACAAAGTATAACATAATACTTCTTTAATTTAACATTCAATTACCTAACTTCTGACAGAGGCCTGTAGGCCTGTGCTTCCACTCAAGCTGACCTCAGGCAGACGAGTGAACAGACGATCCTGCCTCTCTGACCGCTAGCGGGCGGGGACGGCCGCAACACCGCCGCCTGGCGGGCAGTTTGTATAACCGCAGCTGCTGATTCCTTCCTTACCTGCATTAGCGCCACAATACCTCCACCTAGTGGACACTGGACGCGTCGCTCTCCTATTCCTGGGGATTGTAGTAATAATTTCCTACACTTCTACAGCGCTTTTCTGGACTCTCCACTCCGAGCTCTTTACCGGTCATGGGGATCCCCTGCACCCCCACCTGGATGATGCTCCAGTCCTCTCACACACACCAGCTCTCAGTGGGAGGAGAGCAGAGGGATGGAGCCAGTTCAGAGAGGGGGGTTATTAGGAGGCCATGAGGGGTAAAGGCCAGGGGGGAGTTTGGCCAGGACACTGGGGTAACACCCCTGCTCTTCTCGAGAGGCACCCTGGGATTGTTCATGACTACAGAGAGTCAGGACCTCGGTTTGACGTCTCATCTGAAGGACGGCGCCTGTTTACAGTCTAGTGTCCCCGTCACTATACTGGGGCATTAGGACCCACACAGACCACAGGGTGAGCGCCCCCTGCTGGCCCCACTCACACCTCTCCCAGGAGTCTCCCCTCCAGGTACTGGCCAGGCTCCCACTGCTGGGCTCCAGTGGGGCTGTGAGCTGGGAGCTGCAGGGTGATATATGTAAACCTATATGAAATTATATTTCTATATACATACATATATTTATATGAAATTATATGAAATGTATATGAAACCCCAAATTGCACACACTTCAGTTCAGGTACTGTATTCATCCCCGGGGGGCCGGCAGTTCACGATGTGATCTGATGGTTCTTTACACCCGGCCTGTCTTGGGTGCGATGAGCCGGAAACAGAGAGGGGGGTTTACGAGCCATGTGTATACACTTATAGGTGTATGATAGGATCCCCTTACTGGCCGGATACAATTTCTTGTATTAGGAATTTGTCTTCTCACAGACCTCAGCTTGCTCTCCGTGAGACACACAGACAGGGAGAGAAGCTGGGGGTCAGAGTGCAGGGTCAGCCATTTATACAGCGCCCCTGGAGCAGTTGGGGTGAAGGGCCTTGCACAGGGGCCCAACGGAGTAGGATTTCTCTACCAGCCGCAGGATTCAAACCGGCAACCTCCCAGCCACAGGCGCAGATCCTGAGCCACAGAGCCTCTCCGCGTCTTCGCTCTGCTCTATCGGGACGCAAACAGTACGACAGACAGCACTCCCACACGATGCGCGCAGTACACTACAAACCAGCCAACAGGACTTCATCATGACGGTGTCACCTGTAACTCCGGCAGGGTTCGGGCCCGGATTCCGGTCCGGCCCGCTCAGTCTGTTCGCACGCGTGTCCGGGGCCTCCCGCGCGGCGTGGACGCTGACCAGGACCGGCCCGGCCCGGCCCGGTCAGGGAAAGTGGGCCGGTGCTCATCTGGGTCCCTCCTGCCGTCTTCCGCGCGTCGTTAATCCCTGAAGCGTGTCGTTTCCCCCCAAGAGGCCCGGCGCGTTTTGACCCGTCCCACGGTGTCCCTGTGAGTGTGCTCCCGGGGGAGCTGGCTCTCCTGGCGGCGCTGGAAGGTGAGAGAGAGAGTCGGGCTCCGTGCCGTCCGTCTGGGGGCGTGTGCGCGGCGCGGAGGCGGGTCAGGCGGTGACGGAGGAAAGGCAAAACGAAACCGAGAGCAGTTTCCCCGACAGAGGCCGAGTGAGAGACACCGGCCCCTGGGTGCCGTTTACTCGAGCGCGTTCACGCAGCGCCTGACCTGATCTGTCGGTTTTTATCCCCCTGAAACGCGCTGTCCGCCTGCGGGACCCGCTGCGGGAGAGTTCGGGCGGAGCTCCGGCAGCCGCAGGCTCAGGAACAGCCGCCGCGGGTCTGCCCGGACACAGGCCGCACAGCCGGGCCTGCAGCGGACGGGCTGCCGAACCGAGCCGGGAGCAGGTTAGTCTGCGTGCAGGTGTAGGACGGGGAGTGATATTAGGGCCCCAGGTGTGGTGTTAGTGTTGCTTCCGGTGTCGGGGGTGATACTAGTGTCTCAGGTGTCGTCTCAGTGGCTGAGATGTGATGTTAGTGTCGACTCAGGTGTGTGTGGGGAGGTGCTATTTGGGTCTCGGTTAGCGTTGTCTCAGGTGGGGGAGGTGATATTAGGGTCTCAGGTGTGGTGTTAGTGCCGTCTCGGGTGTGTGTGTGGGGGGGTGACATTTCTACTTTTGCAGGTGTGAGGTGACTAGTGTGTTAATGTGCACACTTCATAACATGAGTGTGTCCAGGGGGTCGATGTGCGTTCAGCAGTGTGATATTAGAGTGATAGGAAGTCTGTGTACAAGTCAGTCCTGAGCTGGGAGTCTCCATGAACAGGGAGGAAGGCTGGTCACAGGTCAAGCTGGGAAAACACGCAACTTCCAAATTTAGTTTTCTTCACAAGTATTGTGTTGCAGTTCACCTCCCTCCTCCATCTCCACGTCTCTTGTATTTGTGAAAATACAAACACAATTCCTTGCATTTGTACAGCACATTCATCCCATAAGGCTTTGACTTTAGAAGCACACTGTAAATATTTGCATATCAACGACTGAAGAGCAGCCCCACCTGGGAGACGCACAGTGATCATTCTGCACCAGTAACCCCACCTGGGAGACGCACGGTGATCATTCTGCACCAGTGACCCCACCTGGGAGACGCAC